ATTGCCTGTGAGGTAGATTAGGCTCAGAGAATGTGACTGAACCAAGGTCAGCCAAAGAACACCAAGGTCACCTACTCAGATTCAGTGGGGCTGACTCCTAGGTAAGTGTTCTTAGGATGGCACTGTCAGTGAGCTTCCGTGGCAGAGTAGGGATTTGGATCTGGGTCTCCTGCACTGAAGTCTGGCACTCCAACCATTCAATATCTTTTAACTTTGCAGCTCAGCACCTACCTCATCACAAAGGTGCTATTATTTTTATTTAAGTTGACATTTTTTAAAACTACATCAGTCCAACAAAATCTCCAAGACAGCTAAAAATCAGCTTAATGCAATAAATATACAATAAATCCACATTAAAAATTGGAGCAACTGAGTGCATTAAGCCTCAATGAAGCGCAATAAAGCTGCAGCAGTTCTTAAGATGTCTGGAAAACTTTACCTCGTTCCCAATGACTGGGTTACCAGCTCTGGCTTGGGAACCTCCCGCCAAGATGTGGGGGCAGAGCCTGGGGTTGGTAGAGTTTGCTGGGGGGGAGGGGCTCAGCGGGGATATGATTTCAATGAGGAATTTCACATTACCCTTTTTAACCCGTTTTGAAGCTGTTTTTGATCCGTCATGGAGTAAACCGGTATAGGGCTGCCATTTCACACATGGCTTTCCCATTCCGGTAAAAAGCTGGTTCTGAAGCAGTTTGCCATTTCAGACTGCACCGCTTTTCCCCTGCTGGTTTTTGCCCGCACGAGCGATCTCCGCCTTTTTTTTGGGGGGGGGACGTTCACTTTATAACACTATAGCACTATAAAAACCCCAGGCATTCCAATGGCGTTGATATACTGCTGTTGTGTTATACCATTATAGTGCTATAGCGCTGTAACACTATAAAATGAACGTTCCAAAAAAAAGCTGGAGATTGCCCGTGCGGGTGAAAAACTTCGGGGGAAAGCGCATCGGAACCGGGAGAGGAAACTGAAGACTACTTGGAAGCGGTGGACAGGTAAAACGCTTCAGCCCCATTTCCTAAATGGGACAGAAGCATTTGCGTCTGAAATTACAAATATATTCCGGAAGGGAACCGGTTCTATAACGGTTCTGTCTGAAATGACAGACCAGAAACCGTTTGGGAACCGTTCCTCTTTCGGATTATATCGTCTGTCTGAAATTCCTCCTGGATTCCACTCCCCAAAGAGGCCCTTTCTTCCTCCAGGGAAACCGATCTCTATAGTCTGGAGATCAATTGTTAATTCCTGGTGATTTCCAGGCCCCACCTGGAGGCCAGCAACTAAATATCCAAGGCAGCATTTTATCAGAGCAACAATAATTATGAAGCAGCAAGTTTTCCCACTAAGCTCCAGCACAGAAAGAAGGTACAAAGCAGCAGCTAAACGAAACATAAATGTCTTTGTTTGGTGCCAGAATGACAGAAGAGATTGCAGTGGGGGGAAAGATGCTCACTCTTTCTTGCAGTGTAACTCTGATTAGGATTGCACTGCAAATCAGCAGTGTGAGGAGAGCAAATTTCAATGGGCAAACGACTGGGCTGAGCCCATCCCCACCCCCTCCAATGATGATGGAACCGGAACAGGAAGCGCAAGGGCTTCTTCACTTATTCCGTTTCTCAAAGTTTCTCCAGTAGGGAAGTGGTCAGCATTGTTCCTGCATCAGGAGACATGAAAGGTGTATTTCAAACATGACCGGGATGTGGAGGAACAGGAAGCACGAGGCGCTTGAGCTTCCTGTTCCTCTCTGTTTGGCGTAATGTCCACAGCCGCCAACCTAACCTTTCCATCTCTGCAGCACAAGAGACAACAAAACAGTCAGGAAACACATAAGGAGGAATGTCTTGCCTGGCACGAGAACTTGCAGTGTCGTATGAGTTCGGAGGTGGTTAGTGGTATAGCTGTATCTTAGATAGTTGTCCTCAATTCGAAAGTAGTAGTCCCCTGCATCCTCGGGTTTGGCATTAAGAATGCTGAAGGAACAATCACCTTCATCCAGGTCACCTGTTAAATGGAAGCGTTTCTTCACAGATGTCTGGAGTTCCTGCCTCTCGTCATTTGTGGCCACAAGGATACCTGGAGCACTGCGGGAGCTGTCGTGGGTAAAATAGTGCCGATATCTACCTTTGTTCAGAAACCAATAACCATAGAGTTTCCCGGGAGTGGTCCTGCCTCCCTGTTTATAAGTGAAACTGCAGGGAATGTGAACACAGAGGCCGCGTTGCACAGAAACAGAGGCAGGAACCGTCCAGTTATAGTCCGAATTCTGGCTCCACGAACCTTCCAGAGAAAGAAGACAGGAGTTAGCTGGTATATGGGTAGAGGGATTCAGGTGGGTAACCATGTTGGTCTGAAGTGGGAGGACCAAGTTTGAGTCCAGCAGCCCCTTTAAGACCAACAAAGTTGTATTCTGGATATAAGCTTTACTGTGTGCACCATAGGCGTAATCTTCATGGGGGCGACGGGGCCTCAGTCATCTCCGAAATTTTCAGGAAGGGGCTCAGCCTCCCCTGGGGGCAACTGGTTCCAGCCACCCTTGCTCCATTCTGAAACTATGTTCAGCAGTTGGGTTGGGACCGGGAGGGAGGGAGGGAAGTTATGGCGGGGGCTTGCTTCCTCCTGGAAGTGAAGCCCCACCCTCAGCTCCCAGCAGCCCTTAGTTCTGCCGGGCTGCATGCGGAGTCTGGCTTTCCTGGTTTCTTGCGCACGCGCACAAAGGTAGGAAGCATGCTTTTCCGGGCTCTCCCTTACTGCTGAGTCCTCGAGGCGCATTCGTTCAGCCCGCCTCTCTGCCCCCCTCACCCAGCTACCAGTAAAATCAGCGCGGACCCGGAGGGGAACTTGGCCCGGCAGACTTGCCCTGCTGAAGGGAGCGCCGAAGCTCAGGGGCTGTGGTCCCTCCCACATCCCAGACGGCCTCCACGGCACCTCCTCCACTTCTTGCGTCTGGCTGCTGCCTTCCTCTGATTCCCCTTTGCTGCTGCTCTTGCTGCTGCAAGCTGGGACCAAGTTGGCCGGCTTTGTAAGGGCATGGGTGGGGTCCGGGTCTGAGAGAGGGCAGTGTTCAGTGAGCTTGAAGCTGAGTAGTCTGAAAGAAAACTGCCTTTGCTCTCTTTGGAATACCCTTTCTGTCCTCCCCACCCATCTGTTGTGCTGTTTTTATTCTCTCTCACACCCCCTGTTTTTACCCCCCCCCCTCAGTTGTATTTCAATTTCGTCTGA